TATATATCTGTGTGCTGTCAAGTTTGGCTTTGATGATTTTGTTACTTTAGTTTATCGTCCTGCTGGTGCGTCCGTTCGGAACGTCGTCACGCCGCCAGCCAACTGCAACCAGCCAACTCCCCAGTGCCGTGCAATTTGTCAAACAATGTGTCAGAATGCAACACGCTGCCTCCGACTCCGTCGCCATCTCCATCTCGGGCAACTGCTCTTCCCCTGGCACTCACTGCTGGAAACTTAACTAACGTTCTGCTAACGTCGCTTCAGCGTGCAAATTAATTAAGTGACATACATACACGCCTCAGCGTCAAAACTTGCAGTCCCACACCCTGGATAGACTCTTCTACTTCTACTACTTGTATATAAAGTACTTCACCCGCAACAATGGCAGCATATTAGATTTGATGCATTAGTCTAATTAAAATGAAAATCTGTGGCATCTCACGTCGCAAGTCGCAGCATCTAACTTGTTGTTGCTACAACAAATAATTCACATTACATGTATGCCCATAATGAACGCTTATAGTATAAATAAAAGCGGATTTCTTGGACAGGGCTGTTCTAAGAGTGTGATGTTAAGCACAAAAAACGGCGCACGTACGTGACCAGACAGAAGAAGACGGCAATTTTCACACATCTGTCCACCTGCCAGGCCCACCTTTCCCCATCACTGATCAACTGATGGGTCGAATGCGGGGCTTATCAATGACGCTCGTCAACAATATAAATTTATTTACGCACTGCTGGCCACTCAGCAGCTAACCGCCCAGCCCACCAACTGGCTTATCAAAAAAAACCAGCAATAACCTGAAAAAAAAAAAAAATGCCAACTTTTGATTGACACTCGTGACCCAAAAAAAAGAGTACCAAAGAGCAGCGAAGGCATAAAAAATTAACACAATGCTCACAACAAATAATAGCAACAACAACCTCTCCGCGCACATATCTATCACACAAAAGCAACAACAACAACAGCAGCTGACCAACAGACAAAAACCCCCGCGCCTCCCACACTAAAGCGATAACAAGCCACTGCTGGGGTTGGGTGTGGGGAGGGGGGTGGAGGAATGGGGGGAGCACTGGGTATGAACTGCTAAACATTTTATTATATGAGTAAGTGTAGAATTTGAGAATTTGAAATGAGCGACACAAAATTTGCATTTAAAATGTCGCGTGAAGCGGCAAATGTGCGAACATTAAATTGTGGAGTGGGGCATGGATGGGTACCTATATAGCATATGTATATACAAGTACTATACCCTACTCGCATATATATACTTACATAAAAGTATATAAAAAAAGCCGCACATAATCAGCTGGAGCTGATAAACAAAGTAAACAAGCCAGCGAATGTTATTGAGAACTGCCGGCAGGCCAAAGTGTGTAAGCTTCTCCACAAAGAGCTTTAGCCACTGGACTATGCGTGGACTGTGGACTATACATATGAGTCACAGCAATAGCTTTACTTCCCCCAGAACATATATAGTAAGTAGCGTTAGTCAAAAGCCCACAGCTTCAAACTAAAATAAAATCACGCGCTCACATGCTAATAAAACTAAAAATATTTTCGTCGGTTGAAGCGACACTGCAATGAGCTACACAGTTCGATACATTTGATGTCGTTTTTTGTTCTTAGGCATACAAAACACCTTTGGTTAATAGCACTTTAAATCAATTGGATATATCGAGATCTGGAGTTTCTTAAAATGTTTGTCTATGAATAATGGATGAATATTAAGCAATTGAATTGCCAATACAATACAATACCAGCTATTAGAATTAAATATAAATTATATAAAATTTAAGCAAGGTCATAAAGTTCATTTAGATTCAACAATAATAGTTAACATATTTTTTAAAAACGCCGCTTTTTTACCGATAGTGAAACTATTTGTATAACTGTTAGATACTCTTTTATAAAGAATAAACTAATAATATTAAAAATAATAACAATGGATTTGAAAATGTTAAAAGCAACATAATACAAATATAAAAACATAAAGTTAACAATAAAAATAGTAATATTATATTTATAATAACGATGATAATATTAATTACATTTTACATACATTTCAAATTGATTCTTATTATTTTATAGTTATTTTTGCTCTCGTAGCGCACCCCTGTAACCAAAATATCCGTTCAACTCTAAGCGACTCTCAGTGTATAGGTGTTGTTGTTATCAGTTAGCGCTCTCTTAAATGTACTGGCACGTATGTCTGTTCGCTCTCTCAGTGCCACTGTCGAGGCACTTACTCGTCTCGGCAGTCTCTGTTCAGTGTGCCATCGATTTTTCCCGCAACGGGACAAACTGAGTCGAGTCGGTTCGGTTCGGTCCGGTTCGCTTTTTGTTGTCCTAGGCAAACAGCTGAGCGGGCCATTCGGGCCATTTGGTCGGCCACTGAGCTTCGTTTTGTTTACGTGTGCGCTGCATTTGACACTTGGGCCAACTCGACTCGTTGTCGACTCTTTGACACTTGGGTGATGGTGAATGCAGTTTGAGCAAAATTGCAGCTACTGAGGGCCATGAGCAGAGGAGCACTCGTAAAATTTGGTAAATGAAATTTGTAATCAAACGGAAATCGTCGCGCATAAAGAAAATGTGGAATTACGCCACGGAAGTGTGTGACCACGGCAGTCATTATTGATGGCCAGTGACGGTGAACAGTGAACAGTGCAGTGAATGCTTGGCAGAGAGTTCTTCATGATGAAGGTCCTGCTAGGCTGCGCGTGCTGGTGATGGGGTGAAGTGAAGTGAGTCTAGCGGAAATAGACGCTGTCACGAACTTGGCGCATTAGCACAAGGCACACAAAAACACATTCATAATGCCCATAAGCCGCACCCCAACACACACCCACATACCTAGGAGGAAACAAAAATAGAAAACAGCAAACACAAATTTGTATAAATTGCACCGGAAGTGCGCCTAAGTGTGCCGGCCTCGCCGTAAGTGTGAGAACAACACATGTGCGTACATTTCGGAACATTTTTCCTTTGTACCTCTCGCTTTAATTCCATTTATGTGGCACACAAATTGCACAAAATTGCGTTTTTGACACAATTAAGCACACAATGTGTGTGCGCCCCAATCCATCTCGCTCTCACCAACGCGCTCTCCGCCGCGCTCTTGCGCTCTCGCTCTCTTTCATAATTGCAAACTGATTTGTGCGAAGGACATGGCGTCCTCATTATGCACAAGCAAACGCCTCATGAGTCACGTGGTGGGCGGGTAACCGCCTTTGGCGTCGTCCCTTCGTCCAGTCCAAGTCCAACCTGAGCTACAAAATTTATTGCTGTCAATTAATTTTGCGTGAAAACGAAATAAAAGCAACAATAGCGACAACAACAATGCGAGCAAAAATAAAAAACAAACGAAATTTCAACGCGCTCTCAAGTATTTCAATTAGTAGCCTATTTTTATGTTCAAAAGCCTCGGGAAACGAAGACGTGACGCTTCGCCGGCTGCATAATAAAATCGACAAAAACAACAATAACAACAACAACACAGGCGATAAAAATTGTGTTAATTTGTTTTTATTGTGATTTATGACGAGCGAACAGTGAGCGCGTCATTGGCCACCAAAGAGCGCATTAAATTTTATTTCATTAAAACACCAAAAACAAAAAGATTATTTTTTGATAAAATGTAACGCAGATTAATTTTTAGGGGCTTAGCAATTGAGAGCAGGTGAACATAAGAGCTTTAACTTTATGGAGCTCATTAGCATTAAAAATTATCGCTAATCTTTGATGTGAACAATTTATTACTTGATTCACCTCTTGAGAACTCTATCGAGACAAGCAAGTGGAGTGCGTGTAGGAGCAATACTTATAATAAGAAATACTTAATGCTGGAGTGGGAAAAATTAAAAACAATTCAAGTAGTGCACTTAAAAATGTACTTTTAAATAAAACAAAACATATCGTTTCTATGGCAGCTACTACTTTGCAGTATCATTGGAATTCGAACAAACTTCCAAAACTTAAGACGAATCAATATAGACCTGCCTGACCGACCATTTGAAGAGCGTGAACAAATTTGGCATGAAGATATTTCTTGTCTATAAGCAGATAGCAAATCCCATGTTCAAGGCGTCTATTTTTCCAACCTGTTCCGCACTGAGACGGACAAATAGTTGTAATAATATTTCCAATTGAATTTAGTTACTCTCTGGCTTCCTAATGAATGCTATCGTGACAATATGGGGAACACACAAGTTTCGGTGTGCCTTGGTGGTATTTGAATACAATACTGACATTTCTACACATAACTTTCTTTATAGTTGATCCACGCTTCGCTCTGGGCATAACATACACTCACACTAAATGAGTATACGCATTTGAATGGTCTTAGAACATAATTTTTACAAGCCTAAAATGCTCACTTCATTTTCCTTTCTCCCTGTTCTAGTTACTGCTCCTACCCCAACAAATGCTATCAACAAATTTACATATAATTACATTCAGACTAGCCATAAGTGATGATATATTTTCTAAACAGAAACCTCTGTCCAATTTATGACTGTGGTTTAATTGCTTGCAATCCTTCGCTCTCACTTGATCTGTTTTGAAATTCCGCTTCTAGCTATTTACAAAATTCAAGGACTAGTTTTGGTAACTTTCTACAAATACGTTTAGTTCAAATTTGTAGCAACTGTAGTTTGAAATTATTTTTCAAAATGCTTGCTTCATTAATTCAGATTTATTTAGCTCGGTCAGGAAGTGATGTCAACAATACAGAACTTTACTATATGTGAGACCTTCAACAAACTACTAGAAAATCATTTTAAATCTCCACCACAGTCCAGTTAACTTTTTTGTGTCAACTGCCACTGCAACCAGTCCTCCAACCAATCCCCCTTAATCCGCACCTGCTCAACTAATTCATTTCATATTTTTGCAACATTTTCCCAGAAAAATCATTCGAACAGAAACTTTTATCCAAACAAACAATGCGTCTGATTGAAAACTTTTTAATTGATTTTTGTCAACTTCTTTGCAGCCACAGCAGTCGCAGCACCAGTATCACCAGTACCAGCAACAACAACAACAACAACAAATACATCCACGACTATTACAACGAAGTCAACTGCCCAGAATGGGCAACACAAATGCCCACGCGGGTGTGTCACCATCACCATCGGCGTCAGCCACTGCGACTTCCGATGAAAAGTCAGCCAATAGCTCCACTGTCTTGCGCCATGGCGAGAGACGGGGGAGTCGCGCGCGAGTCCTGAGCCGACTGATGAGCAAGAAGAGCATTCGGGATGCGTTTCTCATGGCGCCACCACCGGCGTTGCCCACGCACACCTATGTGGAGGCGAATGCCTCCGATGCACCGACGCCGGATGCCAGCAGAGGACAATTGGATGCCAGTGAACAAATAGATTTTCGTAAGTCAATTTCGAGTGCCCAGCTCGATTTGGTTTCATTTGATTTCGTTTGTTGTTGTTGTTCTTTTTCCGCATCAAATTCAGTTTGTCAGTTTATGATTCGACTGCGCTGTACTTCCTTGCAACCACTCCTTCCCCCATTGACATTTTTCAAATTTGTAACTTTTTTATTGTTATCTCCATCACCGTACAGTGGTTCCAAATTCTGAACTGGTTTTTCAACTCAATTATGCTCAATATGCTTATTAAATTAGATCTGGGCTAGTTGTCGTGACACAGCGACAATACATATACATAGGTAGAATTGAAATTAGCAAGGAATATATGAATATCTTCTGTTCTAACAAACACTTTCCTACAATATATAAATCGCTGAAAAGGCAATTTATAATGTGAAACTAGTATACCCCTTTACCCATCGAGTACAGAGTATAAAAATCATATCTGATTAAATTTCCTAATTAACATTTTAAAACTGATAGCTGTAACAAATTTCGGATATTGATTAAAAATCTTTCAGCATTTATAAAGAAGAAAAAATGTCAGAACAACATTTTCTGTTTATTTGAATCTTTGAAAAATAACTCGAGAGAAAATGTCATAAAAAATACTTTGATTTATATCCCATCAAAAGACATTCATAAAAGGCAGAAATTATTATTTGCACCTGAGTTTTCCTTAAGTTGTTTCAGGGGTGATAAACACCACCATAGAATAATAATAAAAGATAGAGACCTGTTTGGTCCGGTTGCTCTAGCTGATGATAGATATGTATTTCAAACTACTTTCAGACGGGCAATTGGCTAAACGAAACAGAACAGGACAGAGAGACCGATTTTAACATGCTTTATTTTCTGTCATTTATGGCTATAATGCTCATGAAATCAGACAAAACAGACAACTGCGACTTGCTCCCTGGAATGAAGATCATTTTATTTTCTTCACGTTCTTTTCACAACTTAATTAATCGCTTTTTCAAGTAATTTTTCCAATAAAAAAAACTTTTCTTTAGGCTTATTTCTTAATTTGGAACCACAGTGCTTTATATCAATTTTATATATCTCCGATTTCTTGTGATACTTTTTGACTTTTGTTTTATTATGCAACTCTGGCGATTGCTTGCCATAGCTTCCCAATTCCCGCCTTCCTAGGCTTCCAATCCATATGAACACCCACCCAGCACCCGCTTTATTGCAATTTAAGCGTAGTTTAAATAAGAATTTTTGGCAAGTTTTTTGGAAAAGTTTTCATTTTCATTGAAGTTTTATGAAATTTTCTACACCGAGTTCGTTTTCCTTGGTCTTTTCATTTTTGTTTTTGTATTCTTACTATGCTTTTCTTTGCAGTCCTTTCCTCCCATTCCTCTGGCCCCGTTCGCAGCTTTTGTTGTTTGCCTGCGCTAGACTTTTTGATTTTCTGAGCTTAACTTTATAGTTGTTGTTATGGCCAACGCTTATATCATCCCCCCTCAGCATCCATCTGCAAGTTCTTCATCATAAGCCAAAGCAGCAGCAGTTTGCTTTCTGGAGAGGGAGAGAGTAGCGCTTTTCTTGTTGCTGTTGTTTTTGAAAAGTTATTGGCGTTTTACTGGCCAAATAATAGTTCTACTGAGCGCTGCAAAGTGAAATCAAAAATTTATGGATTTTTAGTTATTCATGTGGAATCTTTAAGCTGATGCTTTAAGAAATGTTGACGCCAGCATATAAAAGCACGTTTACGTTCCTCATAACTCGCACACACCCTGGCTTCTCTATAACCTTCCTTCCGAAACCCACTAGCTTGTCTATTAAAAAAAAAAATGCGACTTCAAAAGCTACTGGTAGCACACTCTGTCTTCAGGTCTGGCCCTGCTGTGCCGTCCTAGCAGCCACCCACCAGCAAATTGAAATATAAAATTTGCGCAGAAATATCTCAACAAATTTTGCTTACAAAAGCGCGTCCAAGAAGGCGGCACAAGCCGGGGAAGGCAGGCAGAGTGGCATATCATATCAAAAAGCAATTCACAGCAACATCGCTGCAGCGCCATTGCAGCAACAAAAATGGCCAAAGGGAGGCAACCGCGCTGGCAGGCAAAGTCCAAAATCAAATCAACGAAAAATCCTAAACGTGCCAAGGCGCGCAAGCTCATATCAAAAATTCCTTTTTAGAATGCCCCGGCCCGGCCCAGCCCAGCCTGGACCAGTTTTGTAAATAGATAGCAGCGGCCTCGTTGCTTCAGCATCATGGAGAGAAGAGGAGGCAACATATTCACAAGTTTTGCCTTTTTCAATGCATAAATTCATAATTCATGTGGAGGCGCAGGCAGGCAGACATTCGTCCATTTTTGCGAAATCAAAAGCCGTGCTGTTATTTTGGCCTACTGCTTGGCCATGTCCGCCTGTAGTCGTCATCGTCATCGTCGTCGTTGTCGTCACTAGCTACCATTGAGAGTTGCTGGTTTAGTTTTGTCGACTGCAACTGGCAACGTGCTCAATTAAGCACTGTTGCTACGCCCTTCAATACCCTCCTCCTAAACACACTTACTATAGCTACCGCTTGGAGGTGGCGGCACACACGCAGAAAGTTTTGCATAAAAGGCACGTGGCTGTGGTTGTGGGATTCATGATGACGGTCGTGGCAACGCTGCGTGGCACTGCCTTTTGCCACGTCCATCCGCCTGCGCCCAAGTTCGCAGCCACCGCTAATATTTATGGCAATTAGTTTTAATAGTCTTGCTTGTACAATTTCGTGTAAAGTTGTTAAGTTGTGCTACGCACAGTGGTGTGTTTTCACAAAATGGTGCCAGTTCTTTTATTCCGATTTTGTTGCTTTTCAGCAAAATCTTTCATAATTTTTGTTGGGTTTCTTGTACTTCAATCTGTTCTGGCTTAATATGTGTATCTATAATAACAACCGATTCAGGGCATCAAGCCTTTCCCCTTTTGGTAGAAACAATTGTCGAGAGTTCATCTGTTGTGTTTGGCAATCGCACCGACATCACCCGTTTCATTATTCGTGCCCTCAAACAGTGAATATTTAGTACTCATAATTTAAATCTCAATTTAACAAGGAGATCGCAGTGATATTACAGAATGAGATTTGCATGACCATCATACATGGGTTTACTGCTTTGTCGAGGCTATGAAGTATTTTCCTAACTTCTATTTCATTTCGCAATTCCATATACAGTCGGACCCAACTAATTTTTTTTTCAAATTTTTTTGATTTTCGTCACATAAATATATAAAAAATCCACTGTATGTTGGTTCGCTCAGTCATCCAATATAGTTCTTTCTCTTACTGTCGCTTCCTCATCTCCCTTTCACTGCATTCTCAAGTCTTAAATGTTGTTTACAATTTTTCAAGTACTCTTCTTCTGCCTCCCTATCTCTGTGTCTGCATGCCAAGTTTGTAACTCTCAATTGACTCCAGCAAACTTTTAAATGACTGCCGCCTAAAAGCAAGCACTTATATTTTTATTGCCCATTTTAAAAAGCTGCTGCACCAACCAAGCCGCCGCGCTTGAAAAAACAACACAGACGCAGCTTCAAGCAGTTGTGTCAGCGTGTCGATACCACCGATGAGGAAGCTACGCCTGTCAGGCAACAATCGATTACCGCAACTGCAAGGCAGCCGCGCAAACGCACAGCTCCAAAGCCGCCGCAGACAACAACAACAAAGCCAATGCAGAGCTTAGCACAGACACAAACCACGTCGATCGATATAAGCTTAGAAAAAATAAACGACAGCGAGCATTGCGCTTTCATCGAGCAGCTCTTTGAAGAGCTGCACCAGCAACAAAAACAACACCAACAACAAAAAGAGCCGGCAACAACAATTGCGGATGAGGCAGCAAAACAAAAGAGCGAGCATGTGGGGAATGTTGGAGAAGAGCAGATGACGCCAGAATCAGCTGCTGGTATTTTTTCTCTCAACAGAGCTCTAAAACAGTGCGAAGCCGAAACTGTTGCTGTTGTTGTTCCCGAATTTACTCAAATGGTGCACAATGTATTCCATTTCAAATATTTTGCCTTGGTTCAAGTGTTCCACTATTATTGGCTACTTTTTGAGTGCATATGGAAAATATATACCAATTTCAATTCTGCACAACTCGATCAAGTTCATAAGCCGGAGCACGCCTTACTATGCATATTTCACCTTGTGCTGCTTCTTTTGTCTGTTCGCCCTTTATGTCATGCAATCTGAGCAGCCGAACTACCATGCATATGCTTAGGCTTGGTCTGTCCCTCTCTCTCTCTCTCTCTCTCTCTCTCTCTCTCTCTCTATCTATCTATCTACCTCTCTGTCAATCCACCTAGTATTCTCTCTCTGGGCTTAATTTCCAGCGCGGCTTCCATTTCCATGCCGCCTAACCAGTTTTTTAGTAACGCTTTACACTCGCTTCCAAGCAGATCGCCGCAAGATTCCGCTTCGCTGTCGTTGCTGTCGTCGCTGGCAACGGTTTTTCTTTCTAATTAGAAAATGTGAAAAGTGAAAAGTTGTGTGCTTATAAGTGCTAAACAAACTGCACAACAAACACAAACCGACACAGATTTGTAAGGTAATTGGCTGTGGGTGGCTCTTGCCAGCATCATCAGGTGTCTACTTATAGAGGCTTCCTAGACTTTTTAAATTCTACTTAATTATTGCTCTGGTTGTTGTTATGTTTTGTTTGCTGCTGACCTCAGTATTTGTTGTTTTTTTGTTCTGTTCTTGCTTTAATTTGTTTTAATTAGTACCACAACAAATTAAATAATTTGTGTGCGTGCCTGTTTTTACACACGCGCATACAGACACACATATGTACATATACAAGACAAACGCACCCAAAAAACCAAAAAAAAAAAAGAAGCAAAACCAAGTCCCCACCAATAACAAGAACAATACCAACAACAAACAAAAATTACTCCAGAAGCATCGCAGCCAGAAAACCAGTTTCGAGTTTTACATTTGTTTCGAATTTTTCTTTTCATTTTCATTTGTATTAACCTTTTTGTTGAGCTGTTTATGTTTGTTATTATAGGTTGTTTCTGTTGTTGTTGGTATATTGTGTTTCAAGCTTTTCGCTGTTTTTCTTTTCTGGCCATTTTCCATATAGATTTTCATAATTTTGCCGTTTAATGGGCTTTGTTGTTGTTTTGGTTTTTTTCTTTCTTTTAAGCGACGCTTTCCAGTCGCTCTCCCCTCTCACACTTTTGTTCGCTCTTGCTCACTCTCTCTGCCTCTCTACTCTCTCTCCACTGGCTTCCAATGCGAGCGTTGCTTTGTTTTTATTTACTTTTGTTTAATTGTTTTTTACACATGGCGCGTCGCTTATGAATGAGCCGTGTCCAAAGCGCCCGCCGACCATAAATTATTAAAAGCAGCTGTCGTACTTTTTTCATAATTTTGTTATTTTAATTAGACATTTTTAGGCAGCTAGCTCATAATTTGTAGCTGCATAGGGATTCGAAATACACTCACAGAAACAACAAAGAACTGATGGCATCCTAAAATTAGGAAAAACTGATTTATTTACAACGGCACATCCTTAACGCGAAAAGATCAACTTAGCTTTCAAATGGGATTCTTCAAATATAGCTCACGCAACCAATAGAAAAGTGCCCTAAACCGACGCCACTAATGATCGGCGCACACATAAAGCGAACGAGAACGTATTCTAAATATTCGAATTCTGGCTTATAATAATATTAATTCAATATTAATTTAATTAATTAATCAATTAATTAATTCAATATTAATTTGTTCTCGATCGTCAAGAATCCCTTGCTTGATCAATTCGTTGCCAATTCTGCTCAATTCAATTACAAATGTTGCGATCAAGTTGCATAAAATGGGGAATTAAACTCTGTACACGAAGCTTGACTTGACGTAAAAAATTCATTATTTGATTTAATGCCTTTTTTTGCCAAAAATCGCATATTTATTCTTATTTGGGTAATATGCACTGAAATAAGATCAGTTTTTTTTAATTAACTAAATTGTTTATATTTGTTTAAAACAGCGAAATTTGATCTATAATTTAGTGAAATGGGTCCGGTATATATTGAAAAACATGCTTTTTACAGCAGTATCGTTTGGTTTCTGTTTGTTAAGCTCAAGTCTGTTAAGCTAATAAAAACGAAGACAAAAATTAACTTCAAAAATTACAACAAATTACGCCACTTGCGTATAATTGTTTTCCTCTACAATATGGCAATTACAATTACATCTACAATTATCCATTTTGTAAGTCAATGGTTGACTATGAACATTCCATTTGATTTTATTTTTGTAGACGATTTTGAAACATTAATTTTTGAGTGTACAGTAATTGCACAACAATTGGGCTTTCTCTTGCCTGTTCTTTCTGTTCTCTCTCTTCTTTCCCCCTTCTCTATTGCTGCCCTTGCCAGACGACGTTCTCAGCTTGGATTTCACCGATTCCTGCGAATTTCATAATTGCAACAGCGACGATTGTTGCTACGCCTCCAGTTCCACGCTCACGCTACACCAGCAACAACAACAGCATCAGCAGCAACATCATCGGCATCATCGCCGGCAACACTCACGGGGCATTTTTAGCGCCATGTCCTTGTCTTGCTCAAGCACCGATTCCCTATTCACAGATCCCCGCACCCCTGGAAGCAACAGCGAAATAGCGATAGTACTCCCAGAGGCACCGAATCCCTACTTCTCTGCCACGCCTGCCGAACTCAGCGATTTAAGTCAACTTCGCCTGCAGCTGCTCAACAAATCTCAGGCAACAAAGGACCGTCCGCTCAGCGAGATAAGTCTAACCTCCGGCGACACACTCTCGCCGAGCACAGCACGCGCTGTCCTGGAGCTGCAACGTCGCTGTCACGCCGATAAGCTTGCCTGCCTGAGCATCAGCCGAACCACACATCTGCACATCGAAGGGAGTGACCCCAACAACCTGATCACGGTCAATGGAGTAGCTGAGGAAGCGGAAAAGGAGCTGCTGCAGCAGATAGAAATCGCTGCCGAGGCAACGCCGGAGAGCTCGCCGGACGAGCTTATGGCTCTGCAGCTGGGCAAGAAGTTGGCCCAGGTTTTGGGCAGTGGAGGTGCATCCTCGCCGCAGACGACCGAAGGCTCCACGAACGCCGTGGGCTCACCGCTCAGCAATGGCGAGCTATTCAACATATCCAAGGCCAAGAAAGTGGAACTGCAGAATCTGTCGTCTCGCTTTACGGCCGTTACGCAGACGCCACCAACAACGATCCAAGCAACAGACACAGGTGAGTCCTAAAGATATGGGAAAAGTAGTGGGGCTGGGAATATAGGATAATGAACAGGGGATATTGGTGCGACTCTGCATTTATTTGCTCATTACTCATTCAAGGCAACTCAAAGCATTTAAACTCATATGGCAGAGCTGGTATTTTTCTTTTTTCCTCTTCGAGGGGGATGCGAACTCAAAACCAACATCGTTTGCCATTACAAACGCATTAAGTGCGGCACGTTGGGAGCTCATGTGTGTGTGTGTGTGTGTGTGTGTGTGTGTGTGTGTGTGTGTGTGTGTGTGTGTGTGTGTGTGTGTGTGTGTGTGTGTGTGTGTGTCTGCGCTTGCTTGTGTATGTGTGTTTGTTTGCGCTTGTGCGTTTTGCCAAAGTTCACGAATTATTTAAATTCCCACTTGACCGACGCAAATAACAAGGCGAGTCGCGAACCCAAAAACATTTCTTGTTTTTGTTGTCCCCCACTCCAGCTCACTTCAGAGCACAGCCGGTGCCCACTCAAGTGTGTGTGGGTGTATGTTAGGTCCAAAATCTAAAAGCTTGTCCCTTTTTTGCGCCAATTTCAAAGGCAAACACAAATAAAGCGCAGAAACAAGTGCTTGTCAAACTGTAAGCCAGAGTGCCAACTATAATTGAAGTGAGGAGCGACATGTCTCCAGATGACAACAATGTTGAATAAAAAATATAAATACCCCCACAATAGCAGCAGTTAATAAGTGTGCGTGGTGAAAGTTTCCAAAATCCGAAACATATCTATTGTAATGTCCATACAAAATGAAATAATGCAATGAAATACTACCCAAAAGTTATCAAACAGTTATGGGCATCGCACAGTATTTCCAATTTTCCAATTGTCCAAAATAAAGAACAGCTTTCGTTTTTGGCATTTGTTACAATCTGTGGATTTATGGTCATCGAGTAGTAATCCCCAACAGCATTGAACACCCAGAAAATGTTTGGCCAATACGCAGCGACTGATTTTAAATTAAAATTTATAGAAATTAACGGCTATTGAATACTTACAAAACAAATAAGATTGATCTGAAAAATTAAACAGGCCGTTTGTGCTTGTCTAATAGCATTTAAAAGTCATTTTAATTACATTAGCCAAGTGATTATCAAATGCTAATCAAATATTCGTCTAAGGCCAATTGCATAAAAATTGACATTTATTAAAAATTACACATACTCGTATGTACAACAGAAATTCTTCGAGTAGTTTACGAAAGAATCAATTATTTCCATTCAAAATAATATTTAAAGCTTTTTCTTAATTGTATTACATTTTTCTTTATGCCTTTGGTTTCTTTTTTGAGTTCGATGCATTTCAATTTAGTCAGTCTTCGCATCCGGTTATAAAAATCAATTATCGAATCGTGCCTTTGAAGGCATCATCTAGGACAACGGAAACGAAGGAGCTACAGATTATTAATTCGTTGTTTATCCAAATGACCTCAACACAAGTTTTTTAATTAAGTTATTCGCTTTCTCGTTGCCCCTTGAAACTGATCCGATCAGCAGCGCGTTCCTAAAACAAAGCAGCAACAAAAAATATTAAACACAAACACGAGCAGTTAGGGTCCAAAGTAATTATTGGCACATTTATGCAAGCGCCCAGAATATATTTTTAAAAATTATATAATTGCCTGCGAAATAAAAAATAAAACTTGCCCAAGACCGAAAAACATAGCCTCCCACCAACCCTACCCTTCCCTTTTTCCGACACACTCACACACGTATGAATTGTGTCCCGACACCCCACGTCCCAGACCCTAATTGCACGGCAAATGAGGCTGAGGCCATGAAAGCGACGACGCGGGGCTTACGAGTTAAAGCCAGCACGCGCTGTTTAAGCGGTTCGTGAGGTTGGTTTGGGGGAGGAGGGGTTGGAGACGGGCTCCATCTGTAAAAACTTAAAAATTTCAAACACGTCTTCATTGTTTACAAAATGTCAGCCGGAAGCAGCCCGCCCACATCTCAGCGCCACCACGCGGACTGAATCCTGCGCATTGTGCTTCCATTGTTTGCAGCCTTTCGAGTGTAGACGGCCGAAAAAAAGTTTAAATTTTAATTAAATCATGTTGAACAATGAATGATACACGTGGGTAAAGCGCGCGAGGCTCCTCTTTACCGACGGTACCAACGATGGCGACGATGATGATGATGATGATGACGATGATGATGGGCGCGATAAGCGGCTTGTTAGAGTTGGATGGAGGGGGTTGAGCATTTATTTTGAGGGTATGGCAGGCTCGCTAAGCACTCCGCGTTCGGTGCTCGTAAAAATTTGCTTTAAGCAAATGAAAGTGTTTAAGTAAAAAATAGGAAAAAAATGAAAAAATTGCACACAACAAACAAATCATGCTGTTCGTCTATTCGTTTCGTTACAGTCACGCCCCCCTGCGTCCCCAGCTCAGGCAGCACAGGCAGCACTACGGAAACGCAATCAACTGTTATAATTTCGTTTAAATCATCCCAAACAGCTGTGCAATCTCAGGCGCCCCCACCGGCGACGACCACTGAAGGCGCTGAGCACGATGATGGCAATGACATTGGGCATGTGGATCCTATGCCGCCGCCGCCCGGTTTTGGCACGCCCACAACGCCGCTGCTGTCAAGCAATGTGCTCAAGAAAGTCGCTAGCTTTACGGCTGAGAAGGCAGCAGCGGTCCAGGGCAGTGGCAGCGCACAGAGCCCCGCCAATGAGCAGCTTGCCGCACTGACAGCCACCTCGACACCGGTGGCAGCTTCAGTGGCCGCCGCCGCCGCCGCCGCCGCATCCGCCTCTGCAACAGCCACCCAGCTACCTGAACAACCTACTGGTGGTGCTATGGCTGGTGCTGGCCCGCGACGCGGCTCTTCTTATGTACCGGAAAAGTTAAGCTTCGCTGCATATGAAAAGTTCGAAGGTAAGTCTGTCGAATTTTTTTTCTATCCCCATATTCTTACTCCTCGTTGCTTCTAAGACTCAAGTGAAGCGCAAAGTTACAACCCAATCTAACAGTAAAGGTTACTCCCCTCCCCCCTTCCCCCTTCCCCTCCACCTCTTGGCACCAGCACCTGTCAATTTTTGCCACGTTTTCTTGCGCCTTTCGTTTGTTTTTCTTAACTTTTGTTGCCTCGCAAATTTCGAATTGCGCCACGTTTCGCTGCGTTTATTGTTTGCTTAACAGAGTTAACAATTAGTTACTACGCTCCAACTCAAATCAAATCAGCAATTGAATTATGACCCGCTGCCCTAAATGCCAAACATTTTAAGTTACAAGCGTTAGCTAAACGTGTTTCGCAGGAGTGATTCCTTTTGGAAAAGCCGAAGCTAAAATAAATTTCAAATGGACCAGTTACAGCTCACGATGTTGTGGGAAATGTGCTGGAATCTGGTAACTGAATATTAGCCTCAAATCTGGCAACAGTTCTCTGAGTCTTAAGTGCTAAATATCATAGAATTTTTTAATTAGTATTGTTATAGAATTTTTTGTTGCTCATAATATAGAAAATATATGTATTTACATAAATCTAAAACCAATTGTTTTGAATTAAAATCCTTCGAAATTACTTAATTTCTAATTAACTAGCGACAACTTAAAGGGCAGTACTCCATTTTAGTTTTTCACATTCGATTTCGATAGATTCTTTGACAACTTCTATAAGGGAATTCAATTCAATTTAAAAAACAAAAGTTTGCTTGACAATCGAAATCTTATTATTACCGAAAAATTAAAATTTAAATGTAATACACATATAGGTTTATATAATACGAAATTACATTTATAGAATACAAATACAAATTATTAAAATCATTAATTTCAATAGTTAGAATAGAATTTGGTTTACAAATTTTTTTAGTTTTGTCGTTTGTAAAGATTTGTACTCGAAGACAAAAGAGGGCCGAGGCGGGCATCTTCTACCCCTCCAGGTTTCATTTAAGATGCCTGATTGAGGCAGCAGAAACAGGATTCAGATAGTGGCGGGAGCTCTAACGGACTACTATGAAATAGGTCGAACTGCTAATAGGATGCATGATTGCACAATAAACTCTGCCGTAGCTGTGGAGAAGAAAGCATCCAACACGTTCTCTGAAACAAAACAGTATCTGGGCAAACTAGGCTGTCCGTCATAGCTTCCACTTTTTACTGATTCTATAAAATAGTTTCAAACATCGCGTAAAGTTCGTAAAAATCGTCATTCCTAAGCAGGCCTCCACCACAATAATCTGTACCCCTAGGAGTTGAGGTGAAATTTGTTAGATATTTGTTGCTTTATTTGAGTGGAACTGAAAGTCTAGATCGAATTTGTTTTAGTGCAGCATGTTTGAGTTAGTTTTCTAACGTATCCTTCTTAGTAATAAAGCGCAATGAAAAAACGGTGTTTGGACCTGTTTCGTAAATCATTCTAATTAGTTTCTCCTGGTCCTCCTGGTGTTCTGAGATGAAACTTTCTAACGACCTGGCATAGTCATCTGAAGAGTCAACTTTCCAATCCAAGGGTAATGGCAGATAATTAAATTTTGTAATGTTTTAATACTGGAGGTTATAAAAAGTTTTCATGTTTTAAGGAATGAACATTTTAAATATTGCTTAATATAGCAGAATCTTATTATATCTCTTTAATTAATCAATAATCCCTACATCTATGCAACAATATTTGTGTATGTAAGGACTTGGTATGCTTTGCAAATATGCCCCCGAAACTCTACAAATACCACATCACACACACACACACACACACACACACACACACACACACACACACACACACACACACATCCACTCACTCGCACTCACACTCAATTGGGGTCCAGACACAAAGGCTCCAATTTGGGCAGATTTGTGCTTAAAAATTCCAATGATGCAGCCGCAGAACTATTTACAGACACCGAAGTGCCAAACTTTGGCGAACATTTTGAAAGGGTTCCCTATAAGCAGGAGAAGCATTGTTAGGCCACGCCCACAAAGACAAATCTCCTTGAATTGCCTGCGGTATGCGCTAATTGGTAAGCTCATCCGCTCAACTTCGTCGTCTGTGGTTCATGCGCCCAAATTAATGCAAACAAACATTTTAACGCCTCGATGGCGAACAAAACTGCATTCTGAAATGCAACCGGACGCACAATTTGCAGGCACTTGCTGCTCCATTCTACCATTCTCGGCTGCCTCCTCTCAGTTCTCGGTTCTCGGTTGTCATTGCCGTTGCCGTTGTCGTTGCCGTTGTCGTTGTCATTGTCTGAAGTGGCCATCAATTCTTTGTGGCTTAAGCGCCTGTCCCGCGTCCCGCCTCCCGCCTGTCCGCAAACACTCGCAACTCTCTGTCCCGTATTGCCCGCTTAGCCATCTGTTTGCTGGAGCAGCTTTTTGTCGCGACTTTTCATCAACGACGGCAGCTCTTGCGGCCCTGGTCAAAATCTGATTTATATGCCCGGCAACGTAACGTTGCCAAGCTTAAGCGAAGGACGCCGCGCCGGACCAGAAGAGAGGAAGTGTGTTTGCGCACAATGTTTGTGCAACGCGTAATGAAACAATATTTTCGGCGTCCTCTGCTCTACCTCCCAACCGAACCTCTCCTGGAACTACCATCGCTACTAACGCCCTTATGCCATCATCCTTTGTTGTTCTGCTTTGTGGTTTTTGGCATCGTTTCATTTTCGCCATTTGTGTTGTCTGATGGCAGCGAAAGTGTTGCCTAGCACGATGCGTTGCCTTCGCCGTTGCCGTTGCCGTTGATGAATGCGACGCATGCATGCGTGCAACGCCATTCCATAGACAACAGAAAACAACAACAGCAACAACAGCAGCAGCAGCAGCAGCAGCAGACACAGACCCTGCAATCGCTGCCCTGAAGCTTCTTTGCCAGCACCATCAACAACCGACCGGCAATGAAATGCAGCCAAGCAGTTATGCAAATTTGTTGGCGGCGCGCAGTTTCATCAAAAGTTCCCTGGCCACAGCTAAGCTGGCGTTTATGCAGCGACGCGTGCTACCTACAATCTCCCCCTCCCCCTTCCACCGCCCACCTCCTCCAGCACACTACCTTTGGCAGCCGTGCACTATCAAACAGCTGCTGACGTCATATGATAAGACATCAATCTATTTTTCAAGAGCATTCACCTAACAATCACCAACTCACAACTATCAAGAACGGAGTAATCGCCCCAATAAATAAGTAAACCCAACCCCTTAAGGAACGACTCATATAAGCCCTGTTCCTTACCCTCCCGAAAAGAACGCAAACGGAAATCAGGGCTATTACAATTGACTCCACAGCTCCACAACTGACTCCACAGACTGTTACAGCTTATTTAAAGCTTTTGTTTGTCAATCGAAGGGAATTAAGACACAGTTTCAGACATTTTGATTCACATCAAAAGTTATTAAATAGGATTTACATATCACGCTTTGAATGCGTTCTTTAAGATCGATTTTTCTTGTCCTGGGCCTCAATAATGATATCTTCTATGGACGAATATATATGGCAAACTTATGTAGCATAAGCTTGTCAAAAAAAAACTATCTAGTACACAGTTATTTACTAACTGCCTATCGTCCTTTATTAGACGTCCTCTATCTGTAGGCAGCAGAAGGAGAAGATATTTAGTAGTATTCCGCTTTTGGCAGCCAAGTTAATTTTCGATTATATTTCGGAAGCTAAGTTCAATCTTTACTCTTAGTCTTTAGTCTTTGATTAGTTTAATTACTAATTTACTTCCTGTTATCAGATCTATTTCATATTTTATTGCTACGAATACCACGAGCTGTTCAAAAATAAACTTGATATACGTATAGTGATATGCTAAGTAGCAGGCTATAACTATCTATCCTAAAAGCCTGAAAATAATTTTACTACTCGTTAGAACTAAATATTTAACATTCTCAATACCACGATTTTGTATCTACTTGAGTTCTAAAATCTGCAAAAGAGCATTCGGAAAGGGAATCATATCTTTTACTTATTTAGCACAAATTTATAAAAACAAAAAAAAACACTATTCTAGTCACAGTTACTAATTCCTTCGATGCACCTTTCGTTCTCTGTTAGTCTCCTATATCTGTACAAATTAGTAAGAAGAGATATGGATTACAAGTATTCTGCCTTTGTCAGCCAAGTTAATTTTGATTTACATTTCGTTGCCTGATTCATGATTTTTGAATATTGGGTTCAAGCTTTACTTTTAGTTGGTCTTTGTTCTGTTTAATTACTAATTTACGTCTTATTATCAGCTCTATCATATTTTTATTGCTTCGAATAGCATGAGCTGTGCAACAAATTGCCGCTAGGGTTTTCCAATTTGGCTTTCTGTTTAACTTATCTGATTCGGCTGTCAAGTGGGGTGCACGAATATATGTTGCATATAGCAGGGCGCTATAAATTTAAACACATGATTCAACCGACGCACATATAGTATATGTAGCTATACTCAAATCAATAACAGCTATTAAAGTGCAGCCCCTTAAGCTATCAGCTTTCATTCATTCTTATCAGTCACTCTCTTGTGCTCTGACTATATGACTAACGACCTTGCCAAAGACGGCGTCGGCCCTACGCTGACTACTATAGCAATACCCGAACGTCTACAAACTAAATGATCTTTTACGAAACTAGCTGCGACTTATCAGAGTATAACGCAGCGTCGTCGGTGGCGATGGTTGTGGTGTTCACGTCATGTTCCACACCGAGAATTGATTATGTTTTTGATAAGTACGACATATTTAATTTTGCGAAATGAAAAATATGACAAAGCCACGACTACGCTGACGCTGGTGCTATAAAAAAGAAAAACAGTCGAGTGCGCGCATTAACACGGCACGGGTGTAAAGAATAAATAACCCGTAAAATATTACACATAGCCTCAAAAATGCTCAGCAACGTTTGGTGTCCGTTGCTGGCCAAATGGGACGACCAAGGGCACGTGCCCACAGTCGCAGTTATCCAACGGCATCAGCACCAACAGCATCAGCAGCAGCAGCAGCGTGGATCTGGGCTCATTATGTGGCGCGAACCGGAAGTTTGGAAAGAGCCCCACATGCAGCCAACGGCGTCACATTATCTGCAACTAATTTCCATGACGGCAGAGCATGCTCGTCGCGCTCGTCAGCCAAAGCTCAAGCCAAAAGCACCGCCACTAGCACCTGCAGCTGATGCCATTCTCAGCACCCCTCGATCCGCACCCTCATCACCTCCATTGACTGACATCAGTTGCCATATTCTACGCATTCGCGTGGCCCACGCGCTTGACCTGCAGCTGCGCCCACAGTCGATGGCTGCCCCAACTCCATGCGCTGACAGCCAACGTAAGTTTTTGGGGCCTTGACTTCCTTAACTTTCCTCCAAATGAGCAAAATAATACCAAAACAACATTTATTTATGCCGAATTAAACTCTACCAGCCAAATGATAGAGGGAGGAAGTCGACGAAACTGCATGGAACAGCTGGAAAGAGCGGATGCTACTCTAACTTGGAGAGCCCTTATCTCAGACTTGAAAGCTAGACAATTTAGATTCCCTTATCGGACCTCCTCTTAAAAAGCCAATTAATGACGTCTTTTTCAAGTCAATAGTCCAACTACTTAGCTGTATATATTTGTATGGAAATTAAAATACACATACTACGCAAGCATTTGTGTATTTTTGTAAGCTGAGCTGAACTTAGTTTTATCTTACCCATGACGATATTCAAAATTCTACGACTACTCTATGTGTACTTTTACGTATATATAGTACATGGTTGTTATATTATCTTCCATTCAATTTTTTAGTGATTATTCCAACTTAATCTTGTATAAGATCTAGAAAAGATTTGTTATTGATTTGCATATTTTCTTGCTTCAACTTGCAAAACATTACAATCACTGTTCGACTTTAGCATCTGCTGTTTAATTATTTTCTCTAATTTTAATAATATTTAAAAATAATATTAATATTGAACTAAACTCTTCATTTAATTCTATTATCTTCTCTTTTATTAAAAAGTGGAGCTGCCCCCTTTCATTTTTGATTCCCAAATTTAATAGAAGGATTATATTGAATAAATGCTTTAATTTTGATAACCTGACAGAAAGTTGCTCCTCTTATATTAATTTCTTGTCTAAATATTCCAAATTTATTGATAATTAGCATTATCTTAGCAGTTATCAGTTATTAGGAGGATTAAATAAAGTCTAATCAAAGGCATAGGTATAGGTAGAACTGTGCTGATATCCAAAACAGGATAAGCTTAAATGAACCACCGTCCTACCCGCTCCTACTTGAACTTTTTTGCCAATAAAATTAATCAATGCGTCCTATAAATAAAAAGCACCAACATTTCCTGCATTTTCTCTAGTGCACCAAAAACAAAAACTACTCCGAATCAATGTATGTGTATTAAAAAATAATAAAAGATAATATAACAGAAAAAATATTGAATTTGTATAAATAAAGTATTTACTGTACGCTTAATCAATTAAATTTGATTAAACACTTTTTCGTCTAATTAAAGATAAAACTTTCTAGTTTTAGCTCGGATTTTAATTATTAAGCTTCGAAACGGTTTTATTTCATCTGTTTTTGAGAACCATTTCCTTTTCTTAATCGGTGTCAGGGTATTTCGTAGTCAATCCAGAGAAGCGCCTGCTTGTTTATTTATTCTTTTTATTTCTGCCTTCTCATTGTTGCCTGCCTGGCAAGCACATAAATCATTGTGCATGCGGCCAAGATGGACGCAGCTGCTGTGGCACAAAGTTTATGCCCCTTTCCAGAATTTCTTCTCTTATCACATTAGTTTGCTGACTAAACAAACTCCTTTTTCTTTGCAGGTCAAATGCTGATTAAATGGCTCATCTCGACGCTGAACAGCAAGAACAGTATCCCGGAAACGGAGATCAATGCCATGGCCTTGCAGTTGTGCAATAATCTCAAATATGTGGGCGTGTTGAAGCAAATTTCCAACGAGCAACAGGACACATTTAGCGTGAGTAGAGAATTTAATTTTCAAGAGTCCGTTGAACTCTGACAACGGAAATTGGTCAGCCGTAGGAACAGCTGCAGAAACAGGCACAGCACCGGAAATGCAATGACGCCAACGGAAATAATGCGAAATGAATTTCAAAGTTCGAACTTCGAAGCTGGGTGTCGCCTAATTGCCAGCTTGGCGTGTCATTAATGCCAATTTCTGCCACTGATAGCACAGCTTGAAAACTAGTCGTAGTTGTAGGCATTGCAGCTATGTATATGCATGTACATAGCTACTATGTATGTATATGCACTCTATCTGCATATTACTCATACGCCCCGTTGTCAACGTCGAAGTTTTCTTCGACACACAAAAAAAAAAGAGAATAACCGCAAAGTTTTTGCCGGAAATTAGCAATTCCATTGCAAAAAGCGCATGAGAGAAAGCAACCAATGCACTCCACTTCAGTGCTTGCTAGAGTAGAGTGGTCTCTGTACCTCCCCTCGTCCTTCCTCCCCCCGCCCACGGCTGACGAGCAACTGCTGCCTAGTTGACTGCCTAGTTTCCAGCCTGAAAGTGTCAGAACTTGTTAAAACTTTGCACTTGGTAGCCGTCAAGTTGCCGCCACCACCGACGAAACCGCCTTCGGCCAACTCCCTGCACTTTTTTGCATGCGAAATTATGAAGCCACAGCTCCCAGACGCGCCGTCCTAGGGAAGGGGGTAGCTGCTTACGCCGACAGTGGCCAGCTGGAAGCATATACATAAAGCATACATACACTAAAAAAATCGAACAGTTTCTGAATAATTTAAACAATACATTGATCAAATTTCAAACGTACAATATTCGTAGCAATTCCATGTTGAAAGAGATACTAGATACTAGACTTATGCTGCAGCAAACCACTTTGGACCTTACCTGACCATAGCTTTAATGTTTTTAGAATCTTTTATAGCAAGATTTTGTGTGATTTTGAATTCTTTTTCTGAAAAGTATTTATTTATTCATCAATATCCATTTTGTCCCTTTAAAGTAATCCCTCTCAGACATAATGCACTTATTCGGCGGCCAACTGAGAAGTTAGGTTAATTTGTTTGTTACTAACTAATCACCCCAGAAGAATTTGAATTCCAATACAAACGGGTATACCCTTTTATAACTAAAATAAATATCTTTGAAGATCCGAGAGTGATCTTTCAGTTGGACTTAACTCGAAAAGCAGTCAGTGACAATTAATGTCACCAGTTCCTATGTTAAATCAGCAAATAAAGATAATCTAAATTTAAAAACAATTCTTATTACAATTCATGTTCAATTGGTAGAACCAAATTGAAGCTCCCCTTGAATACATATTTTTTAATTAAAATAATTATTTTTATAGTTCTAAGAGTGATCTTTCTGTTGGACCTAGGCTCCAACTCAAAAACCAGGCAGTGGCAGAAAACATCTCCAGTTCCTGCTAGCCTTAACAGCTTTGCACTTGGTTGCTGGCAATATGTTAAATCAACAAATTAAGATAATCTTAATTAAAATTTAAGCTCCCCTTGAATACCTTTGTTTTAAATTGAAATAAATATCTTTGTAGAACTAGGAGTGATCTTTCAGTTGGACCCAAAACCAGGCAGTGGCAGAAAACGTTTCTAGTTCCTGCTAGCCTTAATAGCTTTGCACTTGGTTGCTGGCAATATGTTAAATCAACAAATAAAGATAATCTTAATTTTGAACAATTCTTATCAAAATTCATGTTCAATTGGTAGAATCAAAAATGAATGTTTTTAAACAAATTTAAGCTCCCCTTGAATACCTATTCCTTAAATTAAAATAAATATCTTTGTACATCTAAGAGTGATCTTTCAGTTGTTGCTAGCCTTAGCAGCTTCTTAACAATGAGTTATAGACAAGGCATAGGTGACCCCAAATGCCTATTTACTGCTGATTTAGAATAGCAATAACTTTTCGAAATTTCAAAACTAGAGTTAAACAGTTATGTCCCAATTTGAAAGCAATTACAATTTTTTACAGTGCAGTCTCAGCCAAATGGATTCTATGCATTACAAAGCTGAAGAGTTGCCGTTTTTTGTGGCATTTGACCGCCATGCCAATTTCAAATGTGGCTAAAAGTCAAAAGTTAAATAAACAAAACTGTTAAAAACATTTCAACACCATTTGCCGCTTAGCCGGGTGACTTTAATTGCTTGGAGCAAAGCCACCCGACTTCTGTCCATTACCTAGGCACAACTTTTTGGTACTACAAATATGTGTACGAGTCTATGCCGTGCTTAAGCTCAAGTTAAGTGTTATTGGCTAGGCTTGACAGCAACAGAAACAGCAATAATGAAAGACTGGCTAAGAATGCGACCGCTCATGTCCATGAAATTACTTGAGTCCAAAGTTTTAGTAGCAGCAGCTTAACCTCAAATCCCCAACAACAATCGGCCGTTGACAATCATGTCCACCTCTGAAAATGTCCAGACAACGACACGTTAAGTGATTTTCTATGTGAGATGATACTTGAGCTTTGAGATTATGATATCACAAATTTTCACGGCGTCATCAGCTCGGGCAACAGGCCAAAAAGTGTCCTCTTGGCTCCTCGCTTTTGTTGTTGTTATCGTTGCTAATGTTGTTGCTGGTTGCTCTGCTTGTTATTGTTGTTGTTGCTGTTGCTGTTGCTGATGCCATTGTTGTTGTCTATGCTGTTGCTACTCATTGAAAGTTTGTGCGTTTTTATTACTTTTGGCAAGTTTATCAGCTTGTAGGATTCCTTTGTTAACGAACAACTTTGAGAGCAAACAAGCAGTGCTATTAAAACTATGCGTATGTGCTTGTGCGTCTGCCTGTGACTCCCAAACTGTTGTGGCAGAATGCAATTAAAAATTGAAATTCAATTATGTCACATGAAGCGACAAGAAGCGACACTGCCAAGTGTCGCACACACGCTAATCAGAGGGCGGCGGGGGGTGGGCGTGTCAGGGTGAGAAATGCAAATCAAGTGCAACACATGGGCGGCAACAACTGGGCGTGGCAAGGAGTTAGTTACGGGGGGTTTTGTGGGGGGTGGTGTTATCGCACTTTATAGCATTTGCGCAAGTGTTTACACTTTGGCGGCAACAATTTGCATGTTCGCTCCCGTCCTTAGAGCTCCCATCCCCTCCCCCTCTTTGCAAAGAGGTGAGCAACAAAAAGTGAACTAAATATAAAGCTGTAAGCAAATCCCCGACCTGGGACAATCACGATGACGATGACAATGACTTGCACTAGCACTAGCAATGGCAATGGCGATGCAATGTGAAGCCAGAACGCAGTTCACTTTGTGACATTTACTTGTCAGCTTGGGGAGAGCTGCAAGAGGGGGCAGAACACGGGCGAGGGCGAAGGCTGCTGCTTTTAAGCTCTTCGACACACTTGAGACCAACTGTGAAAGCGCTAAATTCCCAGCCAGCCACTCAAGCCGTGCAATTAGAAGTCAATGGCTAATATGAGATCTTTAGCTCTGCTTTTAGAATACAGCGAGATGAGAATAATCCAATAATTTAGCATAATACCATTTTAGAGCAATGATGTCACAATACACATACTTTCCGAAAATCAACAAATAAAGATAATCTTAATTTAGGAACAATTCTTATTACAATTTATGTTCAGGGGAGCACATATGCAGATGAAGTTTGAAACATCGGAAATTTAATTATTTTACATAAAATCATATATGTATACAAAAGAACCGTGCTATTTAAATGAAAAACTACGTTTTAGTGACTTCAATATTGCAAATACCGACAATATTGTAAATTATCTAAGTACGTCACAGGCTTGGCTGTTCTGAACGGCATGCTATTCAAGAAAATGCGTAGTATATCGGAAAAATTAATTGTTTTCTTAAAAAATATGCAACTAACAATATCAAATGTTCGAAGTGCAACAAAATCCATTAAATTAAACTCTGAATTCTATAAAAATTGGTTCATCAAATAATTTGAAATTTTATCAAAGAAATTGAATATTAGGAAATAACAAATAATTAAATTATTGGAAGAACCAATAATGTATGTTTTTAAACAAACTTAAGCTTCCCTAAAGTAAATATCCCGGTTTTAAAGGTATAAGTAGAACCTTAAGATTGCACAGTCCTCTAGAATATGCGCTGCTTAGTTTTGAAGAGACATATGTATAACTTTTATGAACTGATTAGAGGCATCACCCAACATTTGTGTACACTTCTATTAAATTGGACATTTCTGCACCTCCAACAAACCAATTAGGCAACTATTGACGTACTTAATGCAAGTGATTATATTATTAAATGTTTCTGTTTGATTTTCTACAAACTCAAAAGGTGCTTCAAAAGTGATTTTCATTTAAAGAAGAGTAAGATTGCCAGCAGTTCTTATAATTGTTGACTTTTCTATTCTTAATTTTTCCAAAGTGGATTTATCTCTTAATTCTCTTCTTTTTTTGCCTAACAGCCGTACGAGATGTACCAGTGGACACACACGGAACAGCCAACCACCTCGCTGCCCTTGACACCAGGAAAACTGGACAAGGTGGCCGCCTGGCCCTTCTCTAGCACGCCAGCGCTAAGCAAAGCGCCAGCAACAAGAACGGAAACAGCCGGTGCGGATAACAAAAGTCTGCAGCAGACTCTGCGAAAGCGTTTGCTGAACTGCGCCACGCTGGCCGAGATGCATGCGGTGGTTAACGAGCTGCTCAGCAGCGTGGATGAACCGCCGAGACGCCCGTCAAGACGTTGCGTGCAGTTGACCGATTTGATCAACGCCAGTGAATCGACCATATATGAGTACAACAAAACACAGGGAAGTGATCATGTGGAGGTTGCGGACCACAGAAGCTACGCGGATGCGGAGGTGCAAACGGATGAGCTATCCAGCGAAACTTGTCAGTGTGGTGCGAAAAGGAAACAGTCATCAGTGGAAAAAGAGGAAGGGGAAGGAGCTGCATCTGAGGAAGGAGCGGAGACACAAAGTAAACCGACAAGTCCGTCCGCTCCTCCACCCCCACCGCCACCACCGCCTCCTTCACTAGTACCTGCACCACCTCCCCCACCCCCGCCACTAGCACCAGCACCACCGCCCCCACCGCCACCCCCTGCGCTAGCGCCTGGACCTGCTCCTCCACCACCACCCCCAGCGCCCACCCTTTCACTTAGCACTGGCCCAGTGCCACCGCCGCCGCTTAATAGCACAAAATCCGCCTCAGATCTCTCACCCGCACCTCTCCCCAATCCGGCCGAGGGCAATTGGTTTCATCGCACAAACAGTAAGTATTTTATTGCAATCTCGAGCAACCAGATTTATGACTAACATCACTTCTAATTCTGCAGCGCTGCGCAAAAGTGCAGTCAACCCGCCCAAGCCGATGAGGCCGCTTTATTGGACGCGCATTGTAACGTCCGCTCCAGCAATACCGCGACCACCCTCCGTGGCCAATTCTACAGACAGCACGGACAACAGCGGCAGCTCGCCGGATGAGCCAACGAGTACAGCATCGACGCCGCCGCCGCCCGTCAAAGAAATCTGGACTGAAATCGAAGAGACGCCGTTGGACAACATCGACGAGTTTACGGAGCTCTTCTCGCGCCAGGCCATCGCGCCAGTAAGCAAGCCGAAGGAGCCGAAGGTTAAGAGCTTCAAATTCATCAAAGTGCTCGAGCCGAATCGCTCCAAAAATGTGGGAATCTTCTCGCGCAGTCTCCATCTGCCGTCACGTGAGATCGAGCATGCCATTTACCATGTGGACACATCGGTGGTCAGTCTGGAGACGCTGCAGCAAATCAGCCATATCAAAGCTACGGAGGAGGAGCTGCAGAAAATCAAGGAGGCCGCCGGTGGCGAACTGCCACTTGATCATCCAGAGCAGTTTCTGCTGGACATTTCATTGATCTCCATGGCCACCGAGCGAATTTCCTGTATCGTCTTCCAGGCAGAATTCGATGAAGCCTACACGCTGCTGATGCGTAAATTGGAGACGGTGGCCCAGTTGTCGCAGCATCTCACCGAAAGTGAAGATCTCAAGCTCGTGTTCTCTATTATTTTAACTCTCGGTAACTATATGAACGGTGGAAATCGTCAGCGTGGCCAAGCTGATGGCTTTACGCTCGACATTCTGGGCAAGCTGAAGGATGTCAAGTCGAAGGAGTCTCAGACAACGCTACTGCACTTCATCGTGCGCACATACATCGCCCAGAGACGCAAGGAAGGTGTGTATCCAAAGGACATACGCCTGCCCATACCAGAGCCGGCGGACGTGGAGCGAGCGGCGCAACTGGACTTCGAAGAGGTCAGGCAGCAGATTAAGGATTTAAATAGAAAACTGAATAGTAAGTTGGATGAAAAATTATTCTTAAATTCGTTTTTAACAGAAGTGAATATATATTAGCCTGCAAGGAGACCACCAAACAAGTGCTGAGTTCATCCAGCGAGCAAAGCTTAGAGCCTTTCAAGTCCAAAATGAAGGATTTCATGATCAGTGCAGACAAATCCATGGCCAAGCTCCATCAACGCCTAGAGGAGTGCCGCGAGCTTTTTCTGGAAACAACACGCTTCTATCATTTTGCGCCAAAAAAGTCTTCACAAGCATTAGCATACTGCACGCCAGATGAATTTTTCGACTACTGGACAAACTTTACTAACGATTTTAAGGACATTTGGAAAAAGGAAATTGATGCGCTTATGAATGATTTGTAAGAAAAAGCGTCAAAAAGCTCGTTTTATTCAATTAACATTCTTTATGTCTACAGGTTAAAGAAATCTAAAAAGGTGCAAGATGGAAACCAACGAGCACCGTCTACAAAGGTGCCAACCACCGAAGTGTCCCTAAAGGAGCGCATGCTGAGGCGACGCAATAAAAATAAATAATTAGCAGTAGCACATACCCAAATTAGTTGTAAGCATAGGTCGCTTTAGATAATAGCATTGCTAAGCAAAAGTTCTCGTTGTACCGAGTATTTCATTATGTCGATAACAAATTTTAACGCTGTTAAATTAAAAACCGCTGTTAAACTAAAAAAAAAAAAAAAAAATCTTTATTCCATCATTTTGAAATGAATTCCGTTCACGAAACCGAGCGCTGCCAGATAGCTGCAAAATGTTGCTGTTGCTCATTTAAGCACAGCTGATGAGCAGTGTTTATCAGCGCGCAAAACAAGTACATTTGGAGCATAGCGGTATCGGGTGCATATCGATAACAAGAGCTGCAGCATCGCTAACCCCACCGGTTGTGGTTTGTTTTAGAATTTCCCGTGTTAAATGCATAAAACGTTGGAAACACACCCAAAATACACAATTGAAGCACCGGTAACCGAGTGAAGTCTAAGGAACGTATCCACCATGTCGCATAGAACGCGCCGCAAGCATGTGATCAAGGAAATGATGGAGGACGACTATGAGCTGCCAAAGGAACAACAACAAATCGTGCGCGTGGTAAATACATAGTTTATGTTTATTATACATTTAAACGATTTAAAAGAAAACTGTAAATCAGATTAGCAGTCGCGGCAACAATTTGCTTGAAGTTGAACCATCAGTAGCACAGTCGGAAAACTTTCTAGGTAAGTAGCTTGGCAAGATTACGAACTTCTTGTTGACCAACCTTTATTATCCGCTCTTTCCAGTTTCTATATCCACAAAGTTTCGCAAGAATCTGTGGGTCAAGCGCGGCGACTTCATTCTGGTGGATCCCATCGAGGAAGGTGACAAGGTCAAAGCTGAGATCTGTAAAGTGCTTACTCCGGCACATGTCAAGGAGTACACCAAGGCGGGTGTGTGGCCAGAGCGCTTTGCCAAGAAGCTGAACGCGCCGCCACCACGGTCAGGAAGTAATAGCAGCGATGAGGACGATTTATTGGCTCCCAACACAAATCGCCCAGTTCAGGCTGACGACACAGAGGACGAGACGGAGGACAGTAGCGATGAAGACTGAAGTGTACATAATACCTATAGGTCTACTATTTAGAAATAAGACATAAATTGTTTGTGCATTACAAAAGTTTACCTTTGTATTTTTTGCTTACAATTTTTTCTTTTTTTGAAACAAATAAGTGGTTGTTCACTTGAAAAAAAAAATCAAAAATAAGGACTAATTACTCCTGTTAATAGTTTTGGTTTTGTTGTGAAGTGAACGAACATGAATCCAATTGTGTTTTGCAAAAGCTACAAAGCCTACGTTTTATGATAGCGCAATTCTGAGATCTTTCTTATCTTAATCTTAAAAGCGTTTTCACTGGTATTTGAGTTTGTTATTAGAAAATATATCAGTCTACTCCGCAACCTCCACCGTATAGTTCTCATAGGCCTCGTCGTCCTCCTTTTCTTCTCCATCATCGACTTCGGTGACAGCTTCATGCTTCTTCCTCCGCCGCCCCTCATCATCGACACTGCTGCTCGGCTCCTCAACAATAGCCGTACTGGTTATCCTGGTCGCAGGCGCCGTACCTCCATCATGCTTTGTGTCCAGAGCCAGCGTCGAAGGACGTAGCTTTGTGAAAGGAAAGTTACTAAGATCCTCTATTTGTGGTGTGTGTACGGCCACCAGGTCTGTCTGCGTGCTAGAGCTATCGCGCGCCTCCGAGGAATAATCCACCACCTGTATGCTCTCATCGCTGTCCGTATTCGTCACATACTTCTTCAGCGTGTCCTGCGGCAGATTGCACACCATGGTCAAACAATTAACAATTGTGCCAATCGAGCTCTGTAGCTGTTGCACCTGATCTGTAAGCATTGTGCAACGCTTAGCCAGATCATTTACCACGGCCGCAGAGTTCTGATCCAGGCACAATTGTCCACTGCTGGCAACCTGCGCGGGCTTGCCCTCACCCGCTTCCACACTGTTGTCCTCGTCGCTGGGTTTGGCATCTATCTGCATGCTAGAAACTTTCTTCCACAAGGCATTGATGGCCTGCATCTGTAACTGCTGTATCTTGCGTTCATTCTCCAGCTGTGCTTTGGTCAGTAGCATGTCCTTGTTGAGTTTGCTGGGATGTAAGAGGTAAGGATACATAATTAAAGTTGATACAGCTTTTCGAAGTGAAATTGAAATAGCTCTTTTAACAATAAGTTACTGTTTTATGGATACAACGACTACAAATTTTGAAATTGAAATTATTGATCAACAAAATAATAAATCGCTACATGACCCTAAAGTCTATACATAAATATGTTCTTATATTCGTTAAATGTAGTGTGAATAATAAATGGACTGTTGAGAGTAATTAAGTTATAATTGGCTTTTTCAGTCATCATTTCACCAGATAATTTTACAACCCTTTTTCCACCAAAAGATATACCCAAAGCATGTTACCACTTACTCGATGTACTCATGCGTGCGTTGCTTGTGCAACTTTTCGGCAATGTCTTTAGTTTTTTTACGCGTGTGATAGCCACGCCATATCTTTTGTATGGTCACAGCAGACGTTTCAGTCACATGCTCGTTCAGACGCTCCGTGCAGTTCAGGCTGTTGTTGTCCTGCTGTTGCTGTTGCTGCTGCGTACGTTGCGCCGCCATCTTTCGTATAGTCTTGAGCTTCTCAAGATTGATTTGATCGCCGTCATCATCGGTGCTGAAGTCGCCAGCGTCTGGCATTGATTGCGACGACTTGTCCGGCTGTCTTGTGGTATTTTGTGCCTGGTGCGCCTTGCGTGGGCTCGTGTTGGGGCTCTGGTTGCGCCTCAGATTCGGGCTACGCATGCGTGGCAAGTTCAATTTGTTATCTGTGGTTAGCCGAGTGAGAGCAGACATTTCAAATTTACATACATTTCGATTGACTCTGAATAATTTAAGATTTTCCAAATTTCTGCCCCTGTCACTCACCTTTATTTTTGTTCACCTTTGTTTTGTGTAGCTGCGTGTTGAGAGCCGTAATTGTCGCGCGCTGTGCGACTGCTGCAGGACAAACGTCGGGACTCATAAGCGTCTCAGGCACAGGCACCATTTTGGAGGCGGCGGCCAGCGGTCCACCAGCAGGCGTTTGGCCAATGAAGGTTTGTTCTAAGCAACAATAAACTAGAATATATAGGCCTGCTTTGCGATATGGACTTTCAAATAGCTACCGTTGTAAGGATTTGGCGTTATGTTGCGTGGTGTTGATTCCGTTGAGTTATAGGTCTTGGTGGTTACACTGCTAGACATGCCACTGCTCGCAAGTGAAAAGCTGTCCAACGAATCAGTATTCTTGATATTTTCAATCAGCGACGTCGACATCTGTAGGGTGTGCGAGTGGTTGGAGCCATTGTCCATGGAACTATTCCCATGATAGCTATTAACCATGGACTCTGGTGAGCCTTGGCGACCGCTGAGGCGTGAAACTGAAACAGCAACCGACATCAGTTAAACTATTTTGGACTTAACTTACTTAAAGGCTCACAACGTGGCGACTGAATGCGACTTGATGGCTTCTTGCGATTCGAGGAGGGCGACGTGCTGGCCGAGTGATTGGCATTATCCATAATCTCTTCCTGTAGCTGACGCTGGTGATGCTGCGCTTTGCTGAGTATCAATCGCAGCTTTCGATCGTTTTCATTCTCCAACGCCTTCCCCACCAGTGGGCAGGCGGAGCTCAAGTATTTGGCCAATGCTGCCTGCTCCCCGACGCGAAATTGACGACCACGCCCCTGACTGTACAGCCATTCCGCTTTAAGGCTCTCAATGGGATCGACCACATACCCGTCGATGAACTTCAGACTCATGCACCAGTTCAGCACAAAAGGACGATAGTCAAAGCCGCTACAAGAGCAGCAAAATTTAGTAATCGGTATTACTACTACTATAGAATTTACTTACTCCAGGCTATTGGCACCCAACGTCATGTTCACACAGGGATTTTCCGTTATTGAGATGCTCTGCAAATTATTCAAATGCGACAACGTACATATTTCATTAAGGTCAAGAATATTATTCTTGGCAAGCGTCAGCGTCTCCAAAGAGGCAGGCAAATATTTGTCACACTGTCGCAAGTGTGTCAACCGATTGCCGTGCAGATTGAGTTCACGTAAATTGCGCAAGAACGATATATCCGATATGCTGCCTATGCTATTCTCTGCCAAATTTAGGCACTCCAAGTTGATATTTGTATTGAGATGCTCAATGGTTTTTATGTTGTTGCCTTCTAAGTTCAACACACGTAAGTGCAAGCATTCTTTAAGGCCCTCAATGGAGAGTATGCCATTGAAGGAGAGATTCAGTTCACGCAGGCAGTGAAGACGACAAACGCCATACATGCGCAGCAATTGATTTTTGCTCAGCGAGAGCTGCAAGCAGTTTAGAAAGTTAATTACAACTCAATTTAAAATGTGAATTCTTTATGCATACTGTTTCAATTTTGAGATACGAGTCGATGTTGTCTATTTTCTGCAGCTCGTTCTCGTCCAGGATCAGCTTACGTATGTTTTGCGCATCGTCCTGCTTTGGCACCTTTTTCAACTGCTGCTTGGACAAGTTCAGCGTCTGCTTGTCGCTGCAGCTCTCGTCGCCTGTAAAGGAAAAAACACGATGTAAATAATGATGACTTCATCGGCTGTGCAAAGGAATTGCTGAAGGGGGTGGAAGCTAGACAGCTGCGCGCAGGTGCCTTCACAGGCTTGTTTGGTAGACGCTGCGCCCCAAAAGTAGGCAATGTCTTTAATTGCTTGCACCAAACTAAATTATTTTACCATTAAATTTACAATAATTTCGTCTACTTACCACTCATTTTAACTTTCACAAGCAACAACAATTGTTACCAAATCCAGATGCACCAAACAAAAAAATCACGAAAAATCAATGTTGGGGAATTCGGCCGCCTCCTTTTCAAATGTTTATGCGGCTGTCTGTGCCTTTCTGTATTGCGATTTTAAAAACAAATGAAGGAGCTACAGTCCAAGTAATTACTTCAAGAAGCCGCTGCCAATGCAGTTGTAGCCATTATAACCGTAGTCTAGTATTAGCGCTTAAAATGCTAAATTACAATGAAATAGCTGAACACAGCGGCGCGCAGTGATGAGCGAACCACAAAGTTTTCAATTTATCGATACATCAATAGCGAGGACTTGCGACTTTTAGTGCTGATAAACAGCTTAATTCAAACATTCACTTTGCAACACTAACTGGCACAAATTCAAACAAAATACGTTGTGTATGTGTTTTAATGATCGTGTGTAAATTGTACAAAATATAAGGAAATTGTGTAATTTTATGAAATATAACAAAGTAACACATATTTATAAAGTTCGGGAGAAATTGCTCAGCTACTTATTCTGCACAGCTGCTGTTTTGTAGACCTCGCTTACAAGCTGGGGCACACGCTCTAGATCCTCCATCAGTGCCATCTCCTCGCGCAAATTGTTTAAATACATGCGCTGAATTTTGCGCACCATGGGCGTAATCACTTTGGAGCTGACTAGATCGTCCACGGTTAACGATAATCCCTCAGTCTGCACCAAAGGTAGCACATCTTTACGTGCCTTGTTCTTCGAATGTGTCGCTTTATCATACGTTTTTGTATTCGTGGTCTTGGGAGCCGACTTGGGTCGTGGCAATTCGGGTGTGTTACGCTCATCACACAAGCGCTGTGTGTGCAGCAAAATCTCCCTTTTGTCCTTACGCAGCGCGTTAGGGTCGTTTATCGTCGGTAATCTTAAAGACGATAACGTCATATCCGAATCCATAGACGACTCCTTTAGCACCAGCCGATCCGTAAGATCTGTGAGCTGCGTTATGGACTTTTTAATCTCCTGCTGCATATTAATTTGGGAGCGCACCATAGTGCGCAAATCCTCTCCACTCTTTGCGCTGATCACCGTGTGCGTTGACTTGCGAGTCTTCTTTGAACCGCTAGTGGAATCACTGTCACTATATAGAAGTGACGAATCATTTAGTGGTAATGGAAATTTGGCATTAAAGCGTGCATCTGCATTCTTTAGGTGTTCGCGCGCCGACTCCAGAAAGCTATAAGAAGTCTTTGGACATTTGTGTAAGCAATTGTGTTGGTGCTTCTCGTGACTGCGAGACGGATCGTCGTTACCACAACCCATCTGTTCAGCTCGCTCATTGCTGTTGTGTTGATGAAAGTTCTTGTTGGAGTATAATAAGTTATCCCCCTCAGCACCTCCACACATCGGGGAGTGTTCATGTGTTGATGGCCCCAGCAGCTGATGCTGATGGGTTGGCAGCGATGTCATCTGATGATGCCTATTATACCGTGATACATCAAACGGTATATGATGCGGACATAAATGGGTTCCGCCATTACTGCACGTCTGAGTGGCTTGCTGTCGTTGAGTGGGCGCTGGAGGTTCTTCCTTGGTCATCCGGACAATTGGGGGTGTGTTGAGAGAAGAGTGTGTGCTTTGGCATGGCTTAAAGTCGAATGATTGCTCAGATGGACAGTGATCATGGCCTTGGTTGTTCATTACTTGTCCTTTAAAGTGCCTTGCGGTATCCTTCTATGATTACGCACTTAAAAGACGAGCGATAATATTGTCTTAACCTTCCACTTACCGATGTCCACATTTTTCCATAGAAATGGTCACGTAATTCCATGCGATACTTTCTTACTTCATCCATGGGCCAAGGCGGAACTATATAATGTTCAACTTGTCCTCTCTCACTTTATTATTTTCATAACTTATAGACAGACTTACAAACCCCCAATACACAAAACCTGACATATTAATCAAAGGGTTACCGTTTCCATATAATGCTCGAAAGAACGAGTGATGATTGTGTGATCGGGTGCCAGATGCGTATCGGCCATAATAGCCAGTCGATATTTGTCGCCAAAACGATGCAGATTCAGCGAGAGACAGGTCTTGGATTGTGGGGGACGGAATAGCAACACATCCTCGACACGTTGACCCCAGGTGGACTGAAATTCGCTCGTTGCGCCATAAATCTCCGTTATGGTGATAGGAAAGTTATTTGAGAAGAAATTGATGAAGATCTTCGTGAGCACATGCGGGAACAGAGCGGTCAGCACACTATACTTGGTCTGTCCAATAGAGGCCAGATAAATAATAATCTGTTGCTGCCTAATTCCCTCCACAATCGCATGCAGCTGTTGGGCATGCAAAGCATCCGGCAGACGAAGTGGCAACTGCAAGAACACCACCCCACCAATGTGGTCCAACTTATCGCCCGTACGATCAGTGAAGTAACCCTTCTCCACGGTCCGGCACGTTGTATTCAGCAGACTTGGCACCGGCAATTCTTGCGCAAAGGTCTCCAGATAATCGTGCACCGCACCCGCCAAGCAGGTCAAACTAAAGTCAGACTCACGCAGCTTTTCGCCAAACTTATGACGAGCACGCAATGCAGCACCATCTATAGACTTGCTAAAGGAGACAATCTTGCGACCCGCATAGGATTTCTTGTGCAGAATGTTGAGCTCCCGCGTAGGCTGCACAAACAGCACTTCGTAAATGTTTCTAGGTGCCTTGAACAACTCATAGCAGATCTTCAGCAGCTCCAGCTGCGCGTAGAGTAGCAGCGGGACATAGAGATGTAGTCGAGCGCAATAGGTGTCCGTGAAATTGGTGCGTCCGCGAAAGCAAACATCCCAAAGAGCCATTAGCTCGCAGTAAATGTGATAGGGCAACAATAGCACATTGTTCATATTAAGGCGCCACACAAACTTGGTCCACGCCTTTGCGATGTTGGCTGGCTGTAGGCTGTGGCTCAACGCTGCTGTTGCCAACTCCCAATTGAGATTTCTCTGCTCACACTCACGTCTTAAAATCGCTTGAATGGTCTGCAAACGACCCATGCCATTGCGATAGCCACTGAATCTTCGCTGCATCTTCCTACGCATATCCATCGTATGCCTATAGCCCAGCACCACATTCACGATGACAATCAGGGCTAACGACAACAGCTGGCTAAGATCGCGCACCTGAACGCGGGTATATCCATCGGGGGTTTCCAGCGATTCAAATTCGTAGATGAACTGTTGCCAGCGGCAGACGACGAGACGCACCAAGCGCTTCACCAGCTTACGAATGTGCTGTGGCTGACGCACAAAGTGAGAAAGTTGATGACTAGGTGGCTGATCTAGCTCCTCCATATCAAGCACAGCACGTCGCTCTGTGTCCTGCAGCTGGAGCATTTCACTAACATGCAAGTCATCCTCCTCCGCAATTATCAAATGATGCACTTTTACCAAAATGTAATATCTCTCCGGTGAAGAATTCGCTTCTGGCGACTCTCCTTCCGAAGTCGAGGTATTTGCTAATGTGGTAGGTATGACGATCACCTGCCATTGTGGTAGGTCGGAGGGTATGTATTTGGTAGCCAATTCGCTTACATACTCCTGAATGTTCGATTCGTTGACCGCACGGCCGCGATACTTGTGGGTGCTGAGCAGAACATGGTTATTGATACTGAAACCGCTGAAGAACAAAAGTATTTCGGATTAAAATCAACAGCATATGATAAAATATATACTATAGAGTGAAAACTCTTTTAATGGACAACACTTTTGTTTGGACGCCCCTCTTAGGCAGACACTTATTCTAGAACTTTTGATCTGTGTACTAAGTATTTAAGTGTCCCTTTAAGCGGACAATCCTCTTGAGTGTTAGGTGAGTGTCCGGTACAAAAGAGTTTTCACTGTATGTACAATTATACGAAAGCTCTAACTTAAAATCATAAAAATGAAAAGAATGGATAAGGAAATTAGAATTGTAAATTGTTTGTTTTTGACGAACACCTTTTTACAAAACATATGTACATATATGTATATAGAACGTTTTTCGATGGACCTCCGCAAAGGAGGTGAAAAAGGCATTCTAAGAACTGCACTTAGCGAAATTCTTGTATATATAGTATACCGATTTCTCTTGTGGTAGAATCTTATTGGCTCTTCATTTCGTTTACCCCAAACCTTTTCAGCCATCGTTGAATCGCCATAACCTTTACACCCACCTGCTATCGTTCACCCATGCGTATTGACCCCAGCATGTGACCAGCTTCTGGCGCAGCTTGGGAAAGCGCAGCATGCCCGTCTTGTCGCGCAGGTCCGTCAGCTGAGCGGCATATTGCTGCTTGATCCGTTCGAAACAGCAGGGTCCCTCCACCTGCAGCAGAAAGTGAAAGATGCCTGCATTCTTGGGAGTGTCGATCATGCTGCGTATCTTTTTCGAATTGGATATTGTCAGATTGGGATACTTGATGCTCAGCACGTAGTTGGCCAGCTCGTTGCCGAAGTGGGCGCCTGGAAGAGCGAAGGGAGAGCATGAAATAAAATATGCGATGCTTGAAATATTCCGTCGTTGTTTTGGTTTTTACGTTCGCTCTTTATCGCCCCACAGCTGACATTCCCGCCATTGCGTCGCTTCTTATCAGTTGCAAATTTTTATGAGTAATTTGCTCGGTCAAGGTTCAGGCTGCCCGCTCGTCTGGACTGCACAGGTAATCTGCACAGCGTCGCGTCTCTATTTTTATAAGTAAACAAACCCAAAAAAGTACAAAATAAACAGCGTGCCCACCAGCCTGTGCTTATCAGCCAACTAACAACTTCAGTAAACGATCTACCGACCAATCCCTAATAGTATAGCCCAGGGGGCGGCTACTCAACCCACGCGTCGTTTATTTATAGTCGGTGCGTTTGAAGTTTGATTAATGTGCTCATTTGCCTGACATAATCCCTTATCTGTAACGTTGCAGGCCGATCGTAACGATCGGGGCGAGCGCGGGTGTTGCATGATGGGGTCGGACATTGGTATTTTACTCACATAGAAATGACAACAGCAACAAAGGCAGCAACAACAATGCCAGCAGAAAGCAGAGCAACGTCTTCAGAAACGACTTGAACTCTTGCCAAAGTCTGCAAAAAGTAAAAAGTTAACATTTTTATGGAAATCTTACTGAGGAGATGTAGGTCGTACTTATCCATAGTTCGGCAACTGTGAATGAAACGTTGCACGATGCTTTGTATAAGGTGCTTGATCTATATGTACCCTATATATAGTATATTGTTGTTTATATTTTATTCGTTACTGTTGCTGCCTTATCAATCGATTTTCACGTTCCGTTCGTCCGTTCGATTCTGTTGACGCTGCGCGACTGACTAAGAGTGCAAAACGCTGATGAAGCTGTCGGCATCGCTAGCCCTTATCAGTGATTGAATAGGTGACACTTAGGTACAGATCAACATGGAATAAATAATACTCTAAGATTTGTTTGCTGCATTTTTACATCCGGAAAATCCGTTACTGCGTAGTTGACGGGAAAAAAATAAAAAAAAAACATAATTCCTTAAAAGTGTGATCCACCATAAAATGAGACACGGATCAAATTAAAAAAATATGTAAACACACATTCATAGACATTCTAAAAACTATTAAACAATTTAAGGGAAAACTAAAGAAACTTGCTGTAAGGACAAACAAAATTTTAAAACCCTTTTCGTTAGAACTGCACTATCCAGTTAGTAATTTGAAAGAAGATAAAAAACCACTATAAAATGTTAATAAAATTAACATTTAAATACCAAGAACTTTAAATTAAATTATACAAATAATAATTTATCGGGGAACTGAAATAAATACAACAAAAAGGAATTTATTCGTTTTAAGAGAACCTGCTTTACAGACAGGTCTATCGAGATAAGCAGAAGAGAAGTCATCTAGGCTGAAAGAAAATGTATTAATTAACGTATAAATTAATCAATGGCAGAAGGTCCATATGCATATTATTCGCAGAAGGAGGCGTAGCAGTACAATTGATTTCAGCATGATGAGATGAATCGATATAGACATATCCGTCGATCTATTCGACCGCCCTCCCATCCGAATAGACACCGAGAACTTTTAACATAACAGCTAGAGACGCCAAAGTTGATATATTTTATACGCATAAAATGTTTATAGCTACCCTTATATACTAACCTAAATATATATCTATATATACTGACTGATTAACTGATAAATTGACTCATTAGTGATCAACGCACGGACAAAACGAAAATGGTAGAAAACATAAATTTTCTTGTGACCTGGAATTTTGTATTGAGTGACATGAAAGAGTCTTTCAGCAAATTTGGTCTTTACGATCGACCTTGCCGAGATATTTATATAAATAATACTACATGAATTAAAACTAAACTCCTAGTTGAATTAAATGTAATATAGTAGAGAATAGAGGGTGGAAGGTATTTACGAACAATCGTTTTGTAAAGTGCCTTGCCATACTTGTATCCTGTATTGTATTGTAATGCCCCGTGCATTATATAATATGATTATCATAAGAATGATTGGTCTAAATAAGCTAATTGTATGTGTATGGTAAAATATCATGCGGATGACTTTAACGTTCTACTCGTTTTATATAGGCTCGTTATATTGTAAGTCCTGGACCCTAAAGAATTGCTGATGATTGTCTTGATTTCCTTTTTTAATACTATTATCTTATTTATCTTCAAAAACCTTCAAATAGACTTTTACAAAAATTATAATCGTTGTGATAAATTCGTTGCAAATCAAGTTATTTTCAAAAAATGTATAAATTAGAAACATTTTGTATACAATGTTCTAAATAGTGTCTGATTGACGCTTCGTACAATCTACAAACATTAACAGAAGAAGAGGAGATATTCTCAGTTTCGTAACGTCACTTTGTGTGGAAAATTTTTAATACATTTTTTTACAAATGTCATCAAAAAGGAACTAATCGAAATATTTTTGAAACAACATAAAACATCAGATCTTAGAAGTACGGGAATGCAAAATGCAAGAGAACTTGCGAGCTAATATTGTTATTTTTTAAAGCTCTCATTTTAAGATTACAAGTATTAATCTAAATTTGTCAAAATGATAAGTATTTTGTTTGCTTAAATCAATTATCCATAACCAGCTAAATTTACGTTTAGTTTTTAGTCTAATACTTGTAATAGTGCTATACCAGAAACGTGGATTCCGTAATTATAAAGCTACAGTAAAGTCTGTTTCTATTTTACTTCTCATTGGAACCAAAATTGGGAACCAGCATGGCTGCAAAGGACCTTCTGTCTGGCATTGGCGCCCTCTCTAAATTGGAGCACAAACGTCTTATGTCGCTTGCTCTCTTTTTCTCGAGAGAGAATTAGAGAGAGAGAGAGAGAAAAAAGAAGAGAGAGAAAGAGAGAGCTTGGCGTGGGCCCGTGCACTCATCAGTCAGGCATTCAGTCGTTTCCTGGCTTTCACCGTTGACTGTTGGTTGGCGTCGTCGTCGTCTTGTTTGGTTTGCGGTTGCTGCGCCTCGTCCGTAGCGTTGCACGTCGTGTGTGACTGACGCGAGTGTGTGTGTGTGTGAGTGTGGTGCTGCCCTTGCCCCACGCCGCACCGCATCCCGTGAGCACCCAGGGTGCGTGTATTTTTTGTGTACGAGCCAACGCGTGTGTCTGCCTGCCTATCTGCCCATTGAAAGTTGAACGTTGAACGCTGCCAGCTGCGCCTTTGTGTGTGTGAGTCTCTTCGTGTGTGTGTGTGTGTCTGTGTGTGTGTGTGTGTGTGTGTAAGCAAATGTTGAAAGCACCATGGCCCAAAAGACAGCGAAAAAAACCGTACCTACTTTCGGGCGCACTGAATAATGATTTTTGTGCTAAAAATGAAAATTGTTTTAACACGCATGTAAATGAAAATGAAAATTGAATTTACTGCGAACTGCTAATTGAGGGGAATTCGATAAATGTGCGACTGTGCGTGCGAAGTATACACCGTGTCTCGATTACAAATTGATGAGCACTACAAATAAAATTAAATAGAAAAAATACCTACTTGTCTATGTATATAAAAATTTGGCATCGCGCAAGTTCCAATAAGTTCAAGTGCTTTGGTAATAAATGTAAAAATAAAAGTGCGTGCCTACAAGTATACGACAAAATATTAAATAAAATCACAGTTCAACACACACACACACTTACTCTCAACTGTGACATTGGCAGCACACACGCACAGCACCAACAACAATAACAACAACTGCGATTTTTGTACATACGAAATATAAAGACGACGACAGCCGCCTTCAGTGTTGGCAACTTGGGCCTATGAATGAAATGACATAAAACTGCGGTTGTGTGTGTGTGTGTGTAGCATTTACACCAACACAACAAAACGTAGCATGTGTGTGTGTGTGCGTGCGTGCGTCTACGTATGATCTGACTGTGTGCATGAACTTCGGAGGCGGGGTTCGAGGCGCGCTCTCAACATTTAAAAGCATATAAAAAGGCAATTTGGAAGATTTTTTAGACGGTGCCCTTGCCTGCCAGCAACAAACACGAGCTTCAACTACATACAACAACCGTTGAACGTGGCGCGCATATTTCGGTTAAAGTTCGCAGCTTCCACGCCACTTGAAAAGCGGCAGCTTGCTAAGAAACCGAAACCAGCGCATCAAGAGCATCAGCAGTAGCAGCAGAAGGAAAAAGGTGGGTCAAGTGTAAATTTATTTGACTAGTTTGTGAGCACACATGCTTTCATACAAGTCTCCCACCCACTTAAGGGGGCCCTCCCTATGCAGTCAACAGAAGCCCACACTCAAAACAAATTCTTATATGTAGCATACTTTTGTGCGCTTGAATGTTTTGAAATGACTCTTTGACCCAACCCGTAATTTCTGCGTGATTTACGAACATACAAGTAAGTGAAAAAGCCTCTACAACAAGCCTCTACAACAAATAACAAGATAAACTAAAAGTAAAAGAAACGGAAACGGAAAGCATCAACAAAAAATCAATTAAAATTCAAAACTAGAACAGTTTAATATTTAAAAAAAGAAAATAAATAGTACATTTCGGCTACATATTTGCAAAGTTTAAGCATATTTATCAACTGTAAACATAAAACCTTTTAAAGGCGTTGAAAATTATATATATTTCAATACTACAAAATACAAGTATTGTTTTTAGACTTTATAAATGGAAAATGGGATCCGATAGAGACAGAAATATCGTTTAAGTGTTGAGTGTTTTTCAAAGATTTAAGGATATAAGGACGGAAAAAACACGATATACAGAAAAGCTATGTGCGGATAAAGGTCAAGCAAGGGGTTTCTTAATCATTTCACAGTTGAACGAACGATTGAAATAATCGTGTAAACACGTCCTTTTCTTGTATGTGCGTTTGTGTGAGTGGGCGTGTTTGCGCTGCTATTTTTCTTGTTGTTGGTTGTTGTTGCTGCGCTTGTTGTAGTTGTGGGCGTTAATGTATAAATATAAATTTCCCCACGACAAAAATAGCGCATGATGCTATTACAAACACATTCAAAGCACATTTACACACACATACGCTCGTAAATGTTGACGACATGGATTGTTTGCATAGGTTGTCCACTGTAGCGTGTTTAAGAGTGTGTGTGCGTGTGTGTGTGTGTGTGTGTGTGTGTGTGTGCAGCAGCATAAATCATCATACTGGCGCACTTAGAGCACCAGCGTTAGTAAAATGTAGCAAATGTCAATATAACACTTTCCAACACACACAGACACAGGCATACACACTTATGTAGTTATGTTTATATGTATATTTATGTATGTACATATATAAAGGAAGCAGGCCATAGACACGCGGCTCAATGCTAACCAACAAACAGGCACAACTACTCGTACAGCAATGGCTACTGTTCCAGTCTTAACTGGTCTAGCATAGCGTCATGGCAGACACACACACACACACACACACCCATGCACACATATGCATGTATATATGTATATGCAGGAAGTGACAGGCAGCAAAACATCGTCAGCAAAATCCTGTCTGCAGCTATTTCACTTCCTTGAAATCCTTTGCGAAAACGCAAACGTACAGCAGCAAATAAAAGCAACAATAACAACAGCCAACAGCAGCAGCTACACAACACTAACAACAACACTAACAACAACTACAGCAACACTTTCGTTATTCACGTGCGCGCGCTCTCTCTCTTTTTGTCTTCTCTCTGTGTGTCTTAAAGTATACAGCTTACACTGGCCATGTTTGAGTTGTACTCTCTTACGCTTTTTCTCTCTCTCTCTCTCTCTGCACTACTCAGCCTGTCTACGCAAGCGCCTTTTCATAGTCCAAAACAGCTCATCCATCCCGCCCCATTCCTTTTCGTCAGTTCACAGCTCAAAGCGTCAGCAACTCTTTGGCTTCATTATACACAAGCCCACATGCCCACTCACACTCACACTCAGATGGCAAGCATTTAAGCGTTCGGGTCATTTGTTTATTTTTAGTTAGTGTCACATAGAAATCCTACACTAACCTGGGCTTGAGTGCGAGCGTGTTTAATTAAGTTACTGTGGTTGGCGTATTCGAACAAAGTCGGTAGAAGCATTAATTGCTTTCATTATTAATATGCTGAGACACACACACACACACACAAACTCACTCACTTGCCTAGATGTGAACTGCTCAAGTCTCGAGTTGTGCCAAAACTTCACATAACCAAAATTAGAAATGAAACTAGTTCAAGGTCGCATGAAAATGCAGGCAGCCAACCAGCCAACCAGCCAACCAGCCAGCCAACCAGCGAACCAGCAAGCAAGCACTTTGCCACTTGCAACTTGGCCATTGTAGTTGTAGTTGCAATTACAATTGCCATTGCCACCACATTTATAGCACAGTTGAACAACAATATGGCGATCGATCCATGCACTAATCAAAAATTTTATAGGCTCCAATAATTTCGGTTTGCACTAAAAATCCAACACCATTATTATATTATATTTCATTCGAATTCGATTAACAATTTCATAGAAATTTAAAATTAGCTTCTTAGCCCCCCTTTCATTTAAATCAAACTTATTATCTTAAGTATATTTATTAAATTTTAGTCCAATTGAATAGATAATTTGATTGTAAATTAAATTAGAATTTCATATCAAATTTAAGTATCAATACAAATTTCAATTAACTAACAATTCTTTAAATTTACAAACTTTTCAACAAATCTTAAAATTTTCTTTACTTTTCATTTTATTTTTTTTTTTTTGAAATTTTCAATAAACACTCTCATGAATATCATCTTAGAATAAACTTATTTTATTTTAACTACCAATATATACCGAAGAATTTCGAAGAAATAATTAAATTTTTAATGGTGGTGAAATAAAATCCTTTTAAAACGACTGTAATATTTAGATATTGGATTATTAATAACGACTTCGCACCTTTTCGAAATATGTTATTCGCCTTCTATTTGGTTTCCATTTTTCCATCAAATCACTTCAATAAAGCGATTTTCTTTTTATTTCTTTCTTTTACTTTCAATTCGATTTTAAATTTGTATATAATCTCTAGATGAAAAACAAACGAAAACATATAAGTCTATAAACAATTAAAACTAGGACTCTCTACTTCTATGAAAAACTAACATGCATTTTAAAATTGAGTTAATTAATTTTATTATTACTTCTATTTATATTTTAACACTTTTGTGCAAGGTAAATTATATTATAAAATATTTTTTCTCTTCATTTTTCAGTTTAATTTCGAATTAAATTCTTAGTTGTTTTTACCTTTAACTTTAGTTTTAATAAAATCGTCAATCGAGTTCTGAGTTTAATTTCAAATAATTTTTTATTGGTTTTAAGAAGTTTTTAAAAAGAATTTAAAAAGTATAAAATTGACGGAATCACCCCAATCACAACTTCGAGATTGTACTGTAGATGTTGCCACAATTGCTTTTCAACGAGGTTGTTGCACCGCTCGGTGGGGGTCGCCTGTTTAGCGCTGCTGCTGCTGGTGCTGCTGTTTGGACGCATACTTGTAGACCAAGAGCCCAGAGCCAGAGTCGAAGCCAAAATAGCGAAAGCAGCAAAAGGCACGCGACGGCAACTAAGCCAAATGATGTGGAATGAGAGAGGTCAGGGGTAGGGGCTGCATTTTTGTTAGTGCCACAGAAAGTGGCACGCGCTTGGTCGCTCGGTCACTGTACGGTTGGGTCAGCGTTTGGGGTCAGCTAGCATTTAATGGCGGTGTTTATGTTTCTCTTGCTAAAACAAAAACACAAAAAAGGGAAAATGGAAGCCAGCAAGCAAAGCGACGCAAGATTTGTAACAAAAGTGAAAACGGTTCGCGTGTCTGCCAGTCGACGATATATGTATTAACATACATACACACATACATACATTTATATAAATATATACACACATATACATTTATATACCCCCACACATTTATAACATGACGCTGCCAGTTTATGGAGCTCACGTGTCAGGGGACCTGCGGGCTTAGAGCTGGTAGTTGCTCGAAGGTGAGGGCGATGGAGTGCCTGACGGGGAGGAGCAAACCTATGTAGGTGCTCATTTCATGCGCAGCGCCAGCGGAGCGCATAAAGCATGATATGCACAGCGTAGCACGCTAAATATCCCGTAAGGAGCAAGCTTACGTAAGCCCGAGCACCTGCACACCTGTGAGTCCCGATTCCTGCTTTGTGCGCAGCTGCTTTAATAATTTTTCACTTTTTTTAAAAAAAACTTTTTACGATCCGCATTGCGTAGCCAACCGACATGCCATTGTCATTCGCTTGCTGGCATGTCTGTCGCCATGTTAATTACCCACATTGCCACAGGCACGCAGAGTGGTGGAAGGGGGGAAGGGGGAAGGATGTCAGTGTGGCAGAACAGTGAGTGTAATAAAGGGCCAAAAACCTGGTTTCCAAATACACGAATCCACAATTTAAATCTAACACTGCGCTTCCGTTATGCATTATTTACAAGTAGGGATGAGTTTGGAACGTGATTGTTAACAGAAAATTGAAAGAAAAGTTTTATTAATTAATATGAATGAGTTTGTTAGTACTTACGATTGCACGAACACAAAGTTTATGTATTTCTTGAACACGTACTGGACGCCCCTTGGTATGTTTCAAATATGAAACTTAAAGATAGCTTTAGCTTTTCTGTAACATTTATGTTGGTTTAAAATCTGTGTTTTATACGCTCCTGTCTGATTGCAGTTCCTTTCACTACATTCTTTCACTATTCGCTAATATGCGCATAATCGGGGTTTGTAGTTTTTTATTTCTTCAGAATTACATGTTTTCTACTCTAATTTGAAGAAAATTCGCTAATTAAAAATTAAAAACTCAGATAAATGACGTTTTTGATAAAACACTCTTATTCTTTCTGTTCAAAAAATTAGTTATTCACTTTTAGCATAAAAAACTTTAATTCTCTTCCTAAATAATTTTTATAAATTAAAAATACAATTTAAAAAATTAAATAAGTGAAACTTGAACCAATAACCAAAGCCCAAAAAGATTCAAATTAAATACAATTAGGTATATAAAATGTATAAAATATATAACTTATCAAAAAAATTTAATGATCAAGAAAAATGAAAATATATATACAAAGGAATGTATACAAAATATATGAAATAATCGAAATAAAAATAAAATAAAAACTACTTTTATTAAAAAATAATAATTAAAACACATTTAATA